CCCATGCCATGCCCCTCCAGTGCCTCCCGTTAGCACCACGTCCGTGTTCCGGGCGCTGCCAGCACAAACGTGGCATCCGCGGCGCTGCGATCCGGCCCGGGGAGCCGCACAAAGCAAACAGGCTGGGGCACCGCCGCACAGCGCTCCAGTCTCGCTGGGTTGACACCACATCGTTATATATTGATGCCATGACACCAGCGCTCAAAATAGAATCGGGACAATTTGATTTCCTGCAGATCTCAGGATGGGGTCATAAAAACGGAGACTGTGCTGGAGAAATGGGATAGGGTGGAAATGTTTGGTGTGACATCACAGCCGCTTCCATGCCAATGGACTCCTACGGCTGCGAACATGTGATTGTGATTTTGCTGCACGCTCCATCAGAAAAGAGCCAGGCTGGCTGAGGAGGGAGGAGGAGAAGGGACGGAAATACTTGGTTCTTGTATCTTGATTCAAGTATCTGACAATAGCCTCGCAGCCCAGGGGTGCTGAGTGAGTGGGGAGCCGAGCGCGTTGCCAGTGCTGCTCAGATCCGTGGAGCTCAGGGGTCTGCAGCAGCACAAGCAGGGACAGCCCAAGAACCCAGAACCCATCATTTTCTGCTTGTTTGTAATGAGCCTGGCATAGAGGATGCTGGTCTGCATTGAGGTGTCTTTATTGGAGAGTTGGGTGGTCTTGTTGTGCTCACTCTTCCCCACTGATCCCAGTTACTTTTAGTGTCACTTTTCTTGGCAAGAAAAGCCTACAGGCCTGAAACATGGCTGCAAAAGACATTGTACTGCTGCCGTCTTCTAGGGATTCCTGTTAGAAAGGAACACGCTTGGATATTGGCATCCCACCCGCAAAGCTGGGAGCAGAGGGAAGGCATTAATGTATCTGTTGGGGTAAAGGAAGGAAAGAAAAGGACAGGGAGAAGCAGAGGTCAACCCAGGAAACGCAACTCTTCACCATGCCAGAATTGCTCCCTGTGCCCAGAGTTGCCCTCCCGTGCAAATAGCTGCTGTCGTTGGAGGGTGGTGAGGAGCGCGGTGGGGAGCTGGGCCAGCCCAGGCCACGGAGGGCCAGCGGGGAGGACGAGGAGAGGCAGCAGGAAAGGGGGGCGCAGACGGCGGCGTGTGGAGCGTGACCAGTGAGGGTGCCAGAGCCCTGGAACAGGCTGCCCAGAGAGGTTGTGGAGTCTCCTTCTCTGGAGATCTTCAAACCCACTTGGACGCAGTCCTGTGCCACGTGCTCTAGGTGACCCTGCGTGTGCAGGGGGTTGGAATAGATGACCTCGAGAGGTCCCTGCCAACCTTCAGCATTCTGTGATTCTATGATCCTTCCATGGAGGTGAGCCTGGCCGGCCTAGTTGTGCTCAATGCACTCCACGCTGGGGGCCGGGGAGCAGAATCTGCAGGGGAAAGGAGAGAGCGAAGGGATCCGGCTAATGCCCCATCTATCAGATTAGGCTGTCAAAAAATCAAACTGCTTCCATCACTGTCCAAGGAGGGACTCTGGCTTCCTGCTTAATGTGGTTGCCGTCCTGTTGTTGGCACTCCAGGGAGAGGGGGCCACTGCCACCACAGTGTGCAGCAGGCTGCGAGTTTAAAATCCTATTAGGCAGAGACTAACAGTTGCAAAAAGAAAGCAGGTATCCCCTAGTGGGGATTTAAAGATGTTTAGACATAATTGGATTTTCCAAGCAGATGTCATTATTGTTAAACAGTTGCCCACTTGATATGTTCAAGTTGTTGGCTGTAATTGCTAAAATTAGCAGGTCTGCATAGAGCAAAGGTCAGTCGGTTAATATTGTGATTTAGTATTTTATGAAGTAATTCCAAATGCTTTTATGTATGTTTTTGTTTTTGCAGCCTAAGCCCACATTAAAGTAGTTGTGGGCCTGCTAATAAAATAATGAGTGAGGCCCCCCGCGCCGCGCGCTCTGCGCTCCCCGCGGTGCCACCGGCCGCGGCCCCGCGCTCGGGGTCGGCGCCACGTGTCACCGTGAGGCAGGAGGTGTCGGACTGCGCCGGCCTCGCGCGCTCGGGGAGAGGAACTGATCGTAAGAACCACATTGCATCCATGTGGGGCTGCAAGGGTGAGGAGCTGCTTTCCTCTGGCCTCTGCACAAAGAGCTCTGCCTCTGGAGGCCGCGTTCCTCAGGGATGGCCAGAAACACATGTGGAAGCACCAGCAGACTTGAAGACACGCTGCTGCCTAGGAAATATCCTGAAATAGAGGAAATGTCCTGATATAGGAAATACAGGAAGTGCCCTAAAATATAGTGTTGAAGGGGGAAATCACATTTTTATAAGAGGAACAGAGAGCTAGAAAGATGGAATTGTGGACCACGGCAGGCCAGGTCTGAGCTGCGTGTAGATCTGTGTATCTTCATCACAGATCAAGAAATCTTGAGGGACATGATTAAAAATACTGCGTTAAAGGGGAGTCTGAAGCAAAATTTTACCTGTAGCAAGCTGAAGAGCTTGGGGAGTTGGGAATTCAAGTGTGGTTTGGATTTTAGCACATACTCTTTTTAGCAAAGACATTTCAGGTTCCAGTGCAGAAGGTGCCTCCTGAGCACCCATCTCTGCTGGCTCTGGGCGCTGACACCGGAACGGGCAGAACCGGGTGTGGGTTTCAGCCACCCTGGGGTTTGGACAGGTCGGTGGGCATTAGCTGCAGGCTGCTGTGTGCCAGGTTCTGCTCCCTACCCAATTCCGCTTTGGATGATGATGATTCCCTTTGGTCAGGTAGGAAAGGCCTGGGCAGAGTCTGCAGCTGCTGCAGGTGTGTTTGCATGGGTGGAAGGTGGACGTGAAGCGGGCGGCACCTCCACAGAGTGCTGTGCAGGGTGATGTGGGGAGTGTTCGGAGAGCATCGGAGTGATCCCAAGGCAGGAGTGGGTTTCAGCTGCAGGAGATGCTGACACATGCCTTTGTCACCCCTTTTAGATTTCCTCAGTGATCTCTATGAAACCACATGATCTTTAGATCCAAAATTAAGTGAAAATAGGTGTTCCTTGAACAACAGGCTCCTGGCATTAAATCCTACTGGTTCCTAGGCCCATTGGTGTGCGCTCAGACCTTGGTTCTGATCTAGTTTAAAGAGGAAGGCTTTGCTATTCACACTGCGCGGTCAAGTAGGCATTTTCATACAAACTCTGGTGCCACAATTGTCTCTTTTTACCCTGAACTTCCTTCCAAGTCACTTAAGGTGAATTCAGAAAGCTGTCTTGCATGAATATGGTGTCTGCACAGACAATGTCAACATAGATCCTTATTTTTCTTTGTTCTGACCCAAATGATCATCTTTCTGCACCAATCCTCATTACTTTTCTGCAAGTCCAGGGTCCTAGTTCCTGCAGGACTATTTGTAGCTCCCAAATCCTGGGGAGCAGCAGCCGTGGGTCATGAGTGTTGGTCTGGGCTCTGCACAGAGGTGCCCGGGTTGTCCCTGCTCCCATCGCTGCTGACGTCCCTCCATGAGCCGTGACCCCAGGATGCACCAAGACTTTTGCTCGCCTCCCTGCAGGTGCCTTTTTCATACTGGGAAGAGGACTTACAGGGACTCAACAGCCCTTAACATAGAAAATACAGTTTTCATCTATTTTTTTCCAAGCTTAGCATGGCATCGGTTCATAAAGATGATGGTTTAAGCTACATTTTTCTTTACAAACATAAAAGGTTTTGATTGGGGGGTGGCAGTGTTCTAATCTATCTTCGTGTTTAATGTTCAGAGTCCTTTATGAGTATCCCTACCTCTCTGGCTCCTTCAAAGCATGGGAGTCTGTTATTCCCATTTTTACAGAGGAGGAAGCAGATGCAAAGACCTGCCCAAACACAGGCAGCAATAGCAATCTGGATTGGGGTGAAAATGTCCCTGAACGCTAGGTCCAGTCTCCAGGGAGAAATCAGTTGGCAGGACAAGCTGGGAAACTCTTGGGTATGTAACGTGGGACTGAAAATAAGAGGCGTGTAAGATTTTAAATGCCTAAGGTGATCCGACCAGGCAAGAAACGAGGGGCAGTTCATGTGAGCACAGCGAGGGCAGCAATCCAGGCAGCCTGGTCCCTAACCCAGCGGAGGAGGAAAGCTGTGTGCTGCCGGGCACCGGCTTTGCACCAACAGGGAGCTGCATTCAGCACCCTGTCATCTGCTTTTGGTCTGAATTTAGCCCTTTTTGTTTGAATGACTCCAAACAGAAAGGGACCGTGGCTTGTTCCAGTCCAGCAGCCAAATGTACCTTCTGCTTGCTCACTTCTGGTCCCTGAGTGACATGGTGCTTCCCTCCAGGTCTCCTGTCATAATTTTCAGGACATTTTCAGGAAATCTCCCATGGTCTTTTACAGCCTATGAGGAACAACTTGCTCTTCCTCCTGTTCTTCACTGAATTCTGCCTCTGGTTATTCCCATGGCGGCCCCCTGCACTGTGTGCTACATGACCCACTGAACCTCCCCTCACCTTCTTGCCTGTGTGCAAAAGCTGTTTTCAGTGAATGTTTTTCTTATCATATATCATTGCCATGCTAGCGTTAAAGCCCACAGGCAGGATGTTCTCCACTCAGCCTCAGGGTTGTGAATGAGGGTCACACGAGTGTCTTTATCCTTCCAGCCAGCAGACCTAAACATTGGCAAAAGGGTCTATTTGAAGAGGTGGGAAGCCTGTCATAAAGTTCTTCTACCTGGCACCTATCAATCAACAAAACTGTCTCCTCGTCCTATATTAATTGATTAGGCTCTTTAGCGTACCAGCAGGGCTGGTATATCCACTGCATCTCTTCCTGAGCAAGCACTAAGTATCACTTTACCTAGAGTTAGTCCAATCCCACTCTTTAATTTAGTATAATTCCATATCTTCAGCTGGCTAGTAGTTCTTGCAAGCCATTGAGAAGCCTGCAGCGGTTGTGTCATGAACTCAACGCAGACGTTTATTAGTACTGCTCATAGTAGATCCCATCTGTTGAGCAATGAGAGTGTTTCCCAACAGCTTGCAGTGAATGCTGGTGCTGGGCGACGTCGTCATTTCAGCTGTTCTCTCCCATTTACTTTTACAGACTTCAACTGACCGTCTTCTTCCACTTCTGTTCTCTCCTGCCCGTTCTCAATGATTTTCCGGGTTGTGATCCTCCTGCCGTTGATCACTTCGCTAGTGGTAGAGACTGATCTGAAAGTGTGTGACCCAGCTGCGTCCCCACCAAAGGAGAAGGCGGTCTGCTCACTGGGGCCAAAGGAATTGAATGATATGAATGACCGCATAAAGTCAGGAAACAAGCTGAGACCGTTTCCTCTGCCACTTGTTCTGTGTCTGTTTTCACCTTGGCTGTCAAATGAGTTGTCCCAGAAATCATGTGAGAAGGGATCCAACCCTCCGAAGAATTCTCTAAAGATCTCCTCGGGGCTACGGAATATGAAACTGGAATCGAAAGGGTTACGTCCCCCTGCAGCACCTCTTCCTCCTTGGCACCTGATATCCTTAACAGGTCTGTCATAGAGAGATCGTTTCTGAGGGTCTGACAAGACCTCGTATGCCTCGGCAACTGCTTTGAATTTCTTTTCAGCCTCCTCCTTGTTGTTGGGGTTCTTATCAGGATGCCATTTCAGTGCCAGTTTGCGGTAGGATTTCTTAATGTCATCCTGAGAGGCGCTTTTCTGCAGTCCGAGGACTTTGTAATAATCCACCATGTCAGAGGGAAGGCGGAGCAGTCGGGAAGCGGCCCGGCGCCTCTCCCCTCGAGGCCACGAATCCCTGGGATGTCCAGCATGCAGGGGCTCCCGGCCGCCCGCTGCGCTCCTCGGCCCGCGGCAGCTCAGTTCATCTCCGGACCCGCTCGTCCCGCGCGAGGAGGCCGGGCAGGACCGGCGCTTTCGCCGAATTCCTTCTTTTTAAGCCCATTGTTCTCCAGTCACGGGACTGTGACGTCAGAGGTGGCTCAGCCAATCGCTGCTCGCTTGATCTGACCTCGTGCCGAGGTGGAATTCCTGGGCGCCGGCCGCGCGTTTTTCAACTGCTGTGACGTCACAGCGGTGACATCAGACTTTGTGGGATTATTGGGGTTTTTTGGCTGTCCCTTTCCTAAGGGGTGATTCTGAGGTAGTCACTGCGGGTTTGGGTGCAGCCTGGGGGAGTATAGTGCAGTCAGGTCGTATTAGCCCTGCTGAGACTGCAGGTGCGGGAATGGGAATGCCGTGCCCAGCCTGGCTGCTCACGGTTTGGGAAGGCTGTCGATGAGTTGGAAAAAGTTCAAAGAGGAGCCATAAATGTGATTAAGGGCTTGGAAAGCATGACGTAGATTGAGAGACTCAAGGAACCTTCTTAATACTAAGAGAGTGTTAAAATGAGAGCTTGATCATAGCTTACACAAACCTGTAGGAGAACAGAAAAGCAGTAGCACAGGGATCTTCAGGTTCACTGGCAAAGCAGCTGGGAGCTGGCACCACTCAAGTTTTGAACCGGGTTTTGAGCATAATGAAGATAATGAACCATTGGCCATTTTTAACCCCCAAACTGTGGGTCTTATTCCTAAAATCGTATTTAGATGATCATCGTGATCTTTTCTAAATTTCTAACCAAACTTAACACTTCAAGAAGAGCTTATCTCCCTTGTGGGAAACAAAAGAAATGCCTTGACTGAAGCTCATTACCAGCTTTAACAACCTCATTTCTGCATGTTCTTTTGGGCATCTGGTCCCAGGTGTATGCAGGCACCACAGGGCTGCTGTGCAAACTCAAGGCGGACAAGTTCAGCCTGAGCTGAGCTTTGCTGATGCAGTCGGAGGTTATCCTGCATCTGTTTCTGTTCCCTGGGTTTGTCGTTCCTGTGGGAAATGCAATGTCTTCATAGGGAATTGTTGCATGCAGGAGGTCTCCAAGGAAGTGCCAGTAATGAGAATTCAGCTGTCTGCAACATAGAGTCATAAACACCTACTAATGGCAGCATGTGTTGCAGATCACTGCCCTCTTTCCCATTATCCCACATTTTGGGAAGGAATCAAGAGTCATCCATGCTAAAGAGCATATGCACAGCGTATGAGCTGGCTGCTCTCCTAAAACATACCATACATGTGGGGCCGTGGAGCCTAGGGGCAACCACGTCAGCCTGTACAAAGCAATTCTACAGGGGAAGGGAGAGCTGTTGAGTTGATGTCCCCTGGCTTTCTTTTGCTGGTTTTCTTGTTGGTCAGTGATGGGCCAGCGTTAGGGAGTTACTTTAGCCCAGCACAAGGTACTTGTTATATTCTGGCACAGTGTTAGAAGTTATCAGGAGCCAGCTCACTGCCCACCTGGAGGCTGGAGCTGAAGGAACTACCAGGCAACAAATTGAGGAGTTCGTGGCCATGTGGAGTCACCTCACTGGGAAGCTCTTGGGTTCTGCCTTCACCCGCATGGAGGAGGCCTTGTTAACCAGGAGGGGGATGTGCCCTGTTAGTTACAGTTCTGTAGAGTGTTACTGGTACCATAGCAAGGGGAAAAGTTAATCCAGGGGCAGCAGCAAGCTGCATCCCAACATATCCCAGTGCCCTCCTGTGCTGAGGGGACAGGTAAGTCGTCTTGGCTCGCTCAGACCTTGCCTTGGTTGAAATCTTCACCAAGCGGACGCTGTTAACTGTTGTGGTGTTTTCTATGGCTGTCTGTTGCGTGAATCAAGCTTGTCACACCTGAGCCACCAAGACGAGCCAATGGCTCCTCCTCGCTGCCAACGTGGGCCATTTGCAATTTCACAGTAGAGATGTGAGGGTCAGTTCTATGGATGTTCCTGCTCTCTTACCCAGCAGGGAGAGCGCAAAGCCAAAGGCAGGTCTCAACAGCCTCTTGGAGGGTCCTGGGGAGTTCTTAGCAAGGTTTGATGAGCTATTGCAGAGGGAGCAGGGCAATGCAAGGAAGGAAGAGGGTGAATTTTGCCTTGTGCTGCGCTCTCTGAGAAACATCTCCTCCCTTACGCATCGCTTTTGATGGCGAATGCCCACCTCAGACTGGCTGGCGCGCTGGGTTATCTCTCTTGGATTTAGTGCATCCTAGCCATCTGAAAAGTAGGGAGTGTTTTTCTCCTGTCATCCTGGAATGGGGGATGCTCAGTGCCTGTCTGTCTGCTGCCTGCAGCAGGCGTCACATTAGCAGCCATTCAACAGAGGCCACTGCTGTGCGCCAAAAGGGTTTGCGAGAAAAAAAGAAAGGGTCGAAGAAGGAGAGAGAGAAAGGGAAATGGGAGAGACATGCACACATCAAGTAACTAGACCCAAACTAGCCTGGCAGTCCCATCCCTAGAAACCAAGGCTTTGAAATGAGAAATGTTTTTCGTATCTTAAATCTCAAGTACAAACAATAAAAACCAGCCCAGACTGTGTTCTTTGAAGAGAATGTACGAGTGACCTGAACAGTGGTTATCAGCAGCGTCATTAAGATAAACCCTTAACATGATTTAAAGCATCCGAAACTGAAGGCAGCACTTTCAGATACTAACAAAATGGTCTGACATTGGGGATGAAAATCAATAGTAATCTGATGTCACTAAAAATACTCAAAAGTGTCCCATGGCTGATGGAGGTGAGATTAGTGTAAATATTTGTATTCTAATCAGTGGCACGCGAGGGCTGGAGGCGGCCTTTCTGTCTATTTAATTAATGGAGTGGCTTTTTAAAAGGATCCTAATCATATGTGATTGTATCTGCTTATCAACATTTTTGCTAATTAGATGATATGGAGGCAGTCACTCTGCTAATTCCCTCATCCAAACAGCATATCCTGCACAGATAAAGTACAGTCTCTTTTTAATAAGAAACAATCATGAGGCAGACTAACCTTAATGGTGCTTATTATCCTAGGATCTTTGGGATTTTCTCCTCTGCGCACCCCCTCCTTGGCTCTCCTTGGCTCGCTGTTGCAGAATGCCGGATGGGAGCGGGCGCCGCGTGCGGCACCGCCACCGCTGCAGGGATCTGCAAACCCGGATCAATCTGGTTTGGGCTCAAACAAAACACAGGGCACCAAGGGGCAAAAGCTCCCAAGCCTTTGGTCACCTGGTGGCCCCACGCTTGTGGTCATGAGCCCTGTCCTTACTCCTGCCACCCTGGACAGCCCTGGTCCTAAAGGGAGTGAGTGTCTTTGGGCCATGAAAACTTCCTTTCTCTTTTGTTTTCTGTTTTCTGTGTTTTTTTTTTCCCTTTATTTTCATTTTAAAAGGGTGTGGGGGAGAAGAGGGTCTTTGCGAGTGGCTTCTTGGCAGCGCCGTTGATCCCGTGACAAGGCCGGGATCCTTTTATCTAACACAACATGAGCCCGAGACATTTGTTCCGAGTCCTTTGACTATCCAAACAAACAAGAGTCACACTTCGCCCCGCCAGTCAAACTGTCATCGGATGCCTCACGCCACGGCGGCCCCGTCGGAGGGGAGATTGCGCTCGCCGCCTTCCTGCCTCTCCGGAGGGGACGCGGCCGCGCGGCCGTCCCTGGGAGCAGGGCTGAGGCGGCCGTGGCGCCGGGGGCGAGCGGGTCGCTCCGGAGTCACGGCGCACGGCGAGCGCGTTGGGCGGCCTGGCCTCCTGCGGGGGGAACAAAGGGATCTGCCGCCCTTGGGGAAGAAGATTTAAAACAAATGGGAAGTTTGGCCCAAAGAGCCTTTCTGCCCTTCTCACAAAGCACGGGCAGTGTCTTGATAGAGAGAACCTGTCCTAGATGGATGTAGTTGCCGCACCAAGAGCGCCTGAATGGGCCGGAGTAGAGGGGGTAGGTGCCTGGTATTTAGTTTTAGGAGGTCAGGAGTTTGCCTGCTGTTTTTGCAGCTGTGAATGTTGAGCAGAAAAAGCTTAAATGACATGGATTCCAGCCTCCCACTCCTGTGAGGGAGGCTGTGCGTGTCCCGTGTGGTGATGCTCTGTGTGTCAGGCTCAGCACGGTGAAGGAACCTGGGATGGAGGGACAGTGGGCCTGAGAAGGCACCCCCAGCACGCTGAAACACAGGCCTGAGGAGCAGTACGGAGACGTGGGCCTGCAAGCAGCTTCCGAAGCTCAGGCTGGCGCTGAGGCTAAAGCAAGCTTCAAGCTAGAAGACACCCAGGCTCTGGGTCTTGACAAGAGGTAGGAGCCTCACAAAACCACTTTTCTGAGGTATGAAGCCAAGCAGAGGGCCTGGTCCTGCTCATGGTACTGACATTTTTTTTTATGTTAGATCATGCCCGATATCCAAGACGAGGTCTTGTTCCAGTCTTGGAAAACCCAAACTGTGCTTTTGATTGTGTCCATTGACTCTGACCTAGACAGTCCTCCCAGACCCCAGAGCTCTTCAGCTTCGTTGCCTGGGTCATTTCTGTGTTTATCTGCAATACTCTCATCCAGGCAGGGCTACTGTGAGGTTATTCTCAGAAATATGGTTGGCCGGTATTTCTGCTATTCCTCTCCTTGGCATGGCCTGGGCCTCTCCTTTCTCTATGTTCTACGCGCAGGAATTCGTGTAATATTGACCGCTTTCCCGGGGCGATTTCCTGTTGCCAGGTCCATGACTAAGGGCTACAACTTGAAAAGCGGAGGGACTTCTGGGCCAAAGATTGCGTTGCAAGCCGTTGAGTCCTGGGGCTTAATGAGGTGCTGCTTATCAGCAGAGCACGCTTATCTGGAGCCCGCTGATGGAGTACCTGCTCCAGCCTCTTCGTGAGCGAACATGTTTTACCACCCAGTTGCAGGGCGCGCG